CCCTTGTCAGCTCTACTATACCCCTGGGAATTCTCACAGAACATATATTTGTAGAACCATTGTCTGCCAACCCTATACATGATCTTGGGTACACTCCCTGCTGCATAGACAAACCTAATAGTTCAGCCTGTCCACCCATCTATCTACCCGTATACCCATGTTTGCCTTCACTGACAAAGCTTCTGCACATTTTTTAATCAGACTGTTTGTCTTTTTGATTTTGAAGTGTTGGAGTTTTCTAAAAAATTTTATTTTATTTTTTTTTAATTTTTATTGTGATTTGGGTGAAAGTTAAAGAGCAAATTCATTTTCCATACTGCAGTTCATACTTTGTTCCATGACACTGACTGTAATTCCCTACAATGTAACAGCTCTCTTTCCTCTTCCTCCCTATAGTTCCTGAAGTTACCTCTTCCCTGTGTCCTTCTTTCCTATGCATTCCTGCCCCATGAGCAATCTCCCTGAGCAAACACTGCCCTTCTGTTCTCCCATGATTGATTGTTGTAAGGAGTATACTTACCTGACGTAAATGTTTACCCTACATGCCTATCACTGGGCTGGAAGCCACAAGAGTGAGTTCAATTCCAGACTTGAAGGGTAACTAGGGATCATAGTCTCAGGGGTATCACCAGGCTCTATCAGTCCAATAAACCTGGTCTGTTTTATGACCTTGAGTTTTGCTCCACATTGTTCTCCCACTCTATCCAGGATCTTGTGCACTGATCCCTTTCCAAGTGGTTGACAGTGGTAGACGGTCACCATCTAACTCTTCTGGTCTCACGGGACATATACACTGAGGTTCGCATGGTCAACTAGTCCCTTGGACTAATTGTTTCCATTTATCTTTGGTTTTCTTCATTCTTCCTTTGCTCTAGATGAAGAAAAGCCTATTGTTGCATCTGTATTGCTGCTTGCAAGCTTTTAGACCCCAGTCGTTACTCATCAAACTAGGATGCAGAACATTTTTGTGTGTATGTTATGCCAAATGAACTTGATGTCCCCTTGTGACCATTCTATAAATTTTAGAGATAAATGTCTTATCAGATATATTGTTGCCAAATATTTCTTCCCTATCTGTAGGTTCTCTTTTCACTCCTTTGAAGAAGTCTTTTGATGCACATAAAAACTTACTTTTTAGAAAGTCCTAGTCATCTAGTTTATCTTCTGCTGTTTGGGTATTTTTAGTTATGCTTGACAGTCTATTTATGTCATATATTAGGGCTTATAAGTTTGCCCCTATTTTTTCTTTGATGAATTTTACAGTTTTAGGTTTTACATTTAAGTCTTTTACCCATCTAGAGTTAATTTTTGTGTATGGAGTAAGGTAAGGATCTTGTTTCATTTTTCTGCAAATGGATATCCATTTTTGATAGCACCATTTGTTAAAGAGACTATCTCTTCCCCATTTAATGGATTTCAGCCCTTTCTCAAAGATCAGTTGTTCATAGGTAGATGGATCAATTTCAGAGTTCTCAATTCTGTTTCACTGGCCTATATGTCTGTCATTATAGCAGTATCAGGCTCTTTTGACTACTGTGGCTTTGAGATCAAGGAGTGTAAGATGTCTGTTTTGGTTACCTAGTGCCACTCTGACAAGAATATACCACAAATGGGATGGCCTTAACAAACAGGAGTTTATTCTTACAATTTGGATGCTTTAAGTCCAAGTTCAAAGTGCCAGGCTCTAGGGGCCCCTCAACCTTGGGCTTCAGCTCTGCCTCTTGTTCCTGGCCCACTGAAGCTAGAAGCATCTGTTCACTCAGGCAGCTACTGGCAGCTGAGCCTAACAAGCCCAAGGTTGACAAATAAAATGCCACAGTCCTGATGTTAGGAAACCACATGGCAGGCCATTAATTCAAGTCCATTGTCCCAAGGTCAGCAGAGTATGGCAGGGTGCTGAACAATGACAAGGCTACATGCAGGGTCCAAGTGTGCCATATGCTAGAGACCGTTCCCCAAGGCTTCTCCTTATATACAGGAGGCAGACCACATCCCTAGGGTACCTACTTAGCTGCTCACAGTAGATTCCACCAGGGAGTTGATTACCAGTCTCATCACAGGGAGTACTACATCCAGCTTCCCAGCCACTCAACCAGGCCCAGCTAAGTTGACACACAAACGTAACCACCACAACGTCCTACTTTGTTCTTCTTCTTCAGTAGTGCTTTGCTTATCTGAAGTCTTTTCTCTTTCCATATAAAATCAGCGATTGGTTTTCCCATGTTCCTAAAAAATGCAGATGAAATCTGGATCAGGATTGTATTGAATCTATAGATTGCTTTGGGTAGTACTGACATTTCACAATGACATTTTAGTCTTCATATCCATAAGCATGGTATGTTCCTCCATTTATGTAAATCTCTTAGTTTCTTCTAGTAGTGTTTTATAGTTTTCTTTGTATAAATCTTTTGTGTCTCTGATAAGATTTATTCCTAAGTATTTTATCTTTTGGTAGCTATTATTTTATTGATTTATTATTTACTGTTTTTCTTATTTCCTTTTCAGAGATCTCTTTGTTGATGTGGAGAACTCCAACTGATTTTTGTATGTTGATCTTTATCCTGCCACTATGCTGAATCTTTCAATTAGTTCCAGCAGTTTTTTTGGCTGAGTCTCTGGGCTCATGATGTTGCTTATTTGTCCACTTGTGAGGATATTTGTTTTCTGTATGTTGAGGTGTAATTCGTATCAAAGGCTGCAGTCTTTGATCTTTATCAGTAAGTGCTTCAAGTCCTCTTCACTTTCAGTAAGCAAGGTTGTGTCGACTGCATACTGCAGGCTGTTAATGAATCTTCCTGCAATCAGTCCTGATGCTGCGTAATATAGTCTAGCTTTTCAGCTTATTTGCTCAGCATAAAGATTAAGTAAGTATGGTAAAAGGATACAACTATGATGCATACCATCCTGAGTTTAAATCACGCAGTATACTTTGTTTTGTTTGAACAAATGCCACTTGTTCTATTTATAGGTTCTGCATAAGCACAATTAAGTGTTCCAGAATTCTCATTCTTTGCAATGTTATCCATAATTTATTAGGATCCACAGAGTCCAATGTCTTTGCATAGTCAATAAAACACAGATAAACATCTCTCTGATATTCTCTGCTTTCAGCCAAAGTCCATAATGATATTCCTCATTCCACGTCCTCTTCTGGATCTTGCTTGAATTTCTGGTAGTTCCTTGTTGATGTTCTGATCCAACAGTTTTTAAATTACCTTCAGCAAAACTCTGTGTATGATATTAATGACACTGTTTGATAGTTTCCACATTCTGTTTAAAGTAGTACTTTAAAAAGCAGGGCTTTAAGGCATGAACCAAATCTTACATATATTGAATTCAAAATAATGTTTAGTCTATCACCACCCCACACAGAAATTTTTCCCTGAAAACTACTGCTTCTCTCTCCAACCATGTAATAGAGGGAACAACCAACTTCACATGTGGCCCAACTCACTGGTTACTCTTGATTGACTCAGCTGTGGACACCTGCTCCAAGCTTGGCCAATGAGCTCTCTTATTAGAGAATTTGGAATTAGGACTACAAAATTCTGGTCTGAGTCTGGCTGTTCTTTTTAACTGAGTTGCTGTTGGGAGCAGTTACTTTCTGCCCTGTGGAATGAAAAGCCAGTGTGGAGACAGAAAACAGTGAAAAGAGATAAGAGAAGATGGGAAAGTCTCAGTTCATATAGTGCTTAGTCCCTGGGCTCCAGTCTTTCTCCAAGGCCCAGCAGGATCACTGCCCATGAGTGCCTACTTGTATTCTAATACCCTACCATCCCTTCTGCTTAAGTCCATTCAAATGGGTTTTCGTTATTTGCATTGAAGAACATCTTAATTCAGATCTCTTATTATGGGAATAACGGAATGTAATAAATAAAACAAAGCACTGTCAAGGGCTTGGAAATTTTTCATTTTACTTTCACATGTTGATGGCTAATAATGGTAATTTTACTCAGTGTTACAGTATGTTTTACTATTGTTAATAATGAATTAATGGTAATTTTACTCAGTGTTACAGTATGTTTTATTATTGTTAATAATGAATTATAAGCAGTAACATTTATTTTTATTCAATAATTTAAATAGAAATAATTCAAATATTAAAATAATTTAATAATTAAAATAATATTAAATTAATTTAGTAATTAAAATAATTCAAATATTAAGAAAGAAGCCTTACTATACTCACTTTCCAGTGGTTCTTTCTCTAAATGGGAATCCTCTGGTGCATCAAAACGACCTTCTGGTAACTTTGGCTTCTTAAGGGATTGTTTGGTGAATTCAGCCTTTCCTCTTTGAGAAGAACTCGTTTTCCTTAAAGAACGGCACACAAGGGTTGATCCTAGCAGAGTGGGGATAGGAGAAAAATGACAGCTGTTTAGTCATTCTACTTTGAAAATTTAACAATTTACTTATTTGAGTTCATATATTTTCATGTGTCAAAGCTCCAATGGTACAAAAGGACATGCAGTGAAAATACTTCATCCTTGTTTTCCAGATAGCCAGTTGCCTTCCTTGGAAGCAATCAATTGGTAACACTGATTGAAAAAAAAAAAAGTTTGAAAAAAAAAGTTTTGAAATAATTAACCCTTATTAAAATTGTAGAAACTCATATGAAACACTGATTCCTGTCCGAATTGATGCCAAAAATATAAAGTCAGATCATTAAGTTAAAAAAAAAAGTAGTATGAACATTTTAATAACAATATTTAGTATTTAAATTTCTAGAAATCACAAGGAACTATATTTAGTATTTTTATGTAATTAAATTCTAATCATGGTTCTCTCTTCTTGCCGACTAAAATTTTCAAAGAGTACTGAACATTCATACAAATGAGATCACTTTCTCTCTTGGTTGTAAGAGAAAATTAAACTATGAAAGTTATGCAACCCCGTGCTTGAGATAATGTTCAATAAAGTAAAAGCCTTCTGAAAAAATAGCCTCAGGGTTGGGGGTTTAAAACTTCATAAAGGAATAGATTTTGCACCAGACAGATCTGGGTATCAGTTCTAATTACACCACTGTGGTAGGAAGGATAATGGCCCCTAAAGATGACCGTATCCTAATACCCAGAACCTGTGAGTAGGTTCAGTTACATGGCAAAGGAAAATAAGAGCAGGTAGAATTCAGGTTGCTAGTTAGATGACCTTAAATTAGGGAGACTATCCTAGATTATCAGGGTGGGGCCAATGCAGTAAAAGAGGGAATGAGAAGAGAGTATTAGAAAGATGGCAGCATGAGAAGGGCTTGGCCTGCAAGATGCTGGTTTTAAAGACACAGAAGGGATTATGCCAAGGAATGATGACATTCTCTTGAAACTGGAAAGGGGAAGGAAAAAGATTCTGCTCTAGAGCCTCCAGAAAAAAACATAGCCTTGTTGAAATCTTGATTTTAGCCCACTGAGACAATAAATTTGTGTTGTTCTGAAGCACTACATTTGTGATAATCTGTTACAGCAGCAATAGGAAATACAACTATTCTCTAGTTGTACTGACCTTGGTCAAGTAGCTTACCCTTTTTAAACCTCCTCAGAAGGAAGGTTGGGCAATCTATTTCTGTAGTAATACTGCCTCAGAAACCCAAGGAGGAATCGCTGTGAGTTGGGTCCGACTCAACGGCAGTGAGTTTGTTTGTTTTTTTTTTTGAAAGTGAATATAACAATACCTATCTCATGAGGTTACTAAATAGATTAAATAGGACAATTTATGCTAAGCACTTAGCATAATGGCAAATAAACCAAACCAAACCAAACTCACTGTCATCAAGTTGATTCCGACTTACAGTGAGCCCCACTGGGTTTCCGAGGTAGTACATCTATATGGAAGCAGATTGCCCCATCTTCCTTCCACGGAGCAGCTGGTGGGTTTGATCTGAGAACCTTCTGGTGAGCAGTGAAATGCCTTAGGCATTGTGCCACCAGAGCTCCTTAATGGCAAAATAGCATCTATGATTATTACAGAATTATCTAGAAGCTTGTGACAGCATTATATATAATTAAAATATTCTTTTATTATATGTATTCTATTCATATTACAGCCATCACTACTTTAAAATAAAATTGCACGTGTGTGTGTGCATGTGTACACAGTAAACAGGTTGTTGTTAGCTGTCACTGAGTCCACTTCTGATTTACGCCAACCCTGTGTGTTATATAAACAAATATATATGCACACAAATATCTGTATGCATCTACATGTCTGTGGTTGTAAATTCCCACCTTCCACAGACTACCTGGGCTTTACATAAGACTTGTACATAGGATTACTTAAAGTTAAATAACATCACACACAAACTCTATTAATAATGACAATATAATTTATCAGGCTAATTATTTGCACATATACTGAACACTGCTCAGAGCCTAGCAAATTTTTTGACTATCTGAATGACCAACTGGAATGCAAATTAGCATTCTCTCAAGGATCCAAGAGCTCTCAAAATACTAGGTTTTAAAAAATATACAGATAAATGTATAAATGCATGTTTTCATAAAGCTATGATGATCCATACAATTAATATGGATCTACAGATGGTAGTTTCTCTCCCTCTACATGCTCACTTACATAAAATACTTTATACTTATGATACTAATTGGCTAGGAAAAATTCTGTGGACCAATAAAAATTTCTGTACATATTAAAATAAAAAATATTTATCTATTTAAATTTTTTATTGTTTTCTTGGGGTATTGACTACTTTGCCTTCAAACTTCTACTTCAGTATCTAAGGACACATTATATATATTTTTATCTCCTTATAATAATACCAGGAGCTCTAGTAGCATAGCGCCTAAGGCATTTGACTGCTGGTGGTTCAAACCCACCAGCCACCCCATGGAAGCAAGACTGGGCAATCTACTTCTGTAAAGATTTACCACCTTGGAAACCCAACGGGGGTCACCATGAATTGGAATCGACCTGATGGCAGTGGGTTTGATTTTTTTTTTTTAAATAATAATACTTAGTTACACATATACCAGAAAGCTAAAGAAAAAACAACAATTTTATAATAAATAGTATCTTATAAGGCAGCTTGTTATTTTGAAACTGAATGGTTAACAAAAATTTGAATTTCAGTTTATCTTATACAACAATCTCATCTTAATTCAACATAATTGTCTATTTAGAAAAAAAATTATATTGAAAATTTTCCTGATTATAAGTCATGCACAATAGAAGGGGCTGTTCATAGTTTAAGTCACATGATTTTACCAATTAGTCATTTTATTATGTGAAATATAGGGTTCTTTAGGATTTGACAATATTATTAACTCAATTGAGTAGGCATAGACAGGCTCCACTAGAGAAACTTCTGTCTACTACCAGTCTATTACTGATTTGTAAAGTGTGAAATGTTGCTTGGTAAGTCACCACAGCTCAGTAATTATACAGAAACAAAGAAAGAAGAACTCTAACAATTGCAAATTAGATTCTAAATGTGGACAGATTTTACATATGCTTTGGCTAATTAATAGTTTCTGCATTTGGTTATAATTAAATCTATTTTTATTATACATTAACTAGTTCACTCTGAAGCCTAAAAATCAGTAGATACTTGAAGTAGCCACTAGCCAGTGAGTGCTCAGGCTCAACTCAACACACAAAAACCCAGCACTTCTTATTTTAGGTTTGATAATAGGTAGGTGGGAGCTCCGGTCGCATAGTGCTTAAGGCATTTGACTGCTTAACCAGAAGGCTGGCAGTTCAAACCCACCAGCCACTCCTCTGAAGAAAGGTTAGGCAATCTACTTCCGTAGTGATACTGCCTCAGAAACCCAAGGAGGGGAGGCTATGAGTCGGATCTGACTTGATAGCAGTGCGCTGATAGGTAGATGATACAAATGGGCTGTGCTGGACTGTTAACCTAAAGGTTGGCAGTTTGAATCAACCTAGCAGTACCATGGAAGAAAAGGTCTGGCAATATGCTTCTGTTAAGATTATAGCCAAGAAAACCCTCTGGAACAGTTCTACTCTGTATAAAATAGGGTTGTCATGAGTTGGAATTGACGTGACAGCAATTAACAATAATACCAATATATTTTCACCCATTAACTGTTTTTAAAATTTTTAAAGAAATATCTTATTGAAAGCTTGACATTCTATTCAATGTAAAAAGTAATCTTGATATATTCCAAATTTGTAGAACTCCTAAGCATTTATTATTAAATTATTATAAATAAATTAAAAAATATTTATTAATAAAATATACTTATGGCCACTGTTCTGGTTTGACAAGAATATACCACAAATGGGATGTCTTGAACAAACAGGAGTTCATTCTCTTACAGTTTGGGAGGCTTTAAGTCCAAGTTCAAAGTGCCAGGCCCCAGGGGCTGTGTGAAAGCCCCTCAACCTTGGGGTTCAGCTCTGTCTCCTGCTCCCAGCCCACAGCTGCTGGCTGCTGAGACTGACAAGCCCAAGGTTGACAAGTAAAGAGACACAGTCCCGTTGTTACCAAACTACGCAGCAGGCCTTTAATTCAAGTCCATTGAACGTCCCAAGGTAGGCAGAGCATGGCAGACAGCTGCACAATGACACAGCTACATGCAGGGTTCAAGCATACCATACACTTGAGACGGTTCCCTAAGGCTTTTCCTTATATACAGGAAGCAGACCACATTCCTAAGGCAGCTACGCAGCTGCTGACAGTAGATTCCACCATGGAGTTTATTACCAGTCTCATCATGGGGAGTACTACATCCAGCTGCCCAGCCGCTCCACCAGGCGCAGCCAAGTTGACACACAAACTTAACCACCACAACCACCAACTATAATGCAGACAAAATCGATTTATCCTCTGAAGCTAAAATAGTTCTCTCTTAAATGATAAAGGTACACTAGCTGTAAATGATGGATACATGCATGTTAGATGTCTACTATGTACCAGGAACAATACTAGAAGCTTAAAATATGTCATTTTATTTAAGCTTCACAACAATCCATAACTCCCTTCATTTTACAATGATTCTGTACAATGTGAACAAAATCTTTCTTTGAAAATATGGCATTCAGTGGATATGGCAGAGACTGCTAACCATCCCAACTACTCACTCTCCCATTTTTTCATTTTGTTTGAGGACTCTCCATCCTCACCTTGCTTGTGATTAGCTGAGTCCAGGCCACTCACTCAGAGATCACATTTCTTAGCCTCCCTTGCAGCCAACAAGCCATATACCTAGCTGTGACAAATGGGCTGTGACTGGAAGTAATGCATGCAAATTCTAGGTCGCTTTAATTTTGCAACAAGCTGACTGCCCTGGATTTTTTCCCCCCATTTCTTTTCGTACACATGGCAATGACCCAGCTTCAACCATGCAGATGAAGCCAATACTCAGGGAAGGG